AACTTTTGGGAAAGCAAGGCTATGTGAAATTCAATGGAAACGTCAGCTTAACTTATATCATTGTGGGAAATTTCTACTACCATTCCTTCATCACCTTACACGAAATACGGTGAATACCTCTCATTGTAACTAGCCTAAACGGGATATTAGCTACTTGATATAACCTCGCTTAATTTTCCATGTCAACTTCTGATTAGACGATGCGCTGCCAAGCTTTGATTGGTCGAGGCGAGATGAAGACTGATGATTAGTCATGTGATCTATGTGTCTAAGGCTGTTGAGCATTGAACATAGCATTTGAAAAGTGTGGGAATATGTCACTACAAGCCTATTAATAATAGTGGAAATTTAATTATATACAAAATTCATATGGAGTTCAGATCGTGTATGATGAAAATTTTCCGAAAGCAAGGTTATTCACATAGAATCAAAGGCGTTTTTGGAATATGAGCATGGATGTAGACTAGCAAATCTTCGAAGTTAAGTTGGTCATATGTTGGGCATACTTTGGCTTAAAATGGTATTGGCTAAAATTTGGAACCGATTTGAAACTGCCCCACATCATTCAACAAGAAACCATATACATACTAGTTGTATTTATTTAAAAAGTCTGTACGTCTGAGAATTATATAATTTCTCTGGAATGTCCTAATTTGATTAGGTTATTTCTGCAGTGATAAGCGAAAGTAATGCATTCACTCGTAGGTCTAAGCATAATCTGCACAATTATTCTAGCTTAATGGAGAAGTAGTAACTTACCGAGCAGTATAGTGTTCGATATTTATCAAAAGATCTTTCAGTTCCAAACTGTAGTGGACCAGCCTTCTTTTGTGCTCAAGATAAGAGGCATGTTGTCTGCGCAATTTTTGAAGATTCTCTAGAATGAAGCTGCGAAATTTAAGCTGTCGCTCCTGAAAGGCTTGAGCTTTCTCCTCCAGGCTGGCTCTGGCAAGACTCGCCTTAAACATTTCTTCCTATCATAAAATAAAGTATGCTAGATCAGAACTTAGTACTAAAAACTGTATATGAATGTAAGAAAAAAATGAGCTGTGAACGAAATTTACCCCACACCACCTCTAATAGGGGGTCAATGTTGGAAAATTGGCATGGAAACAGGGCATGACAGTGGCTTTCACTATCCTGTAAAGCCGAAAGTATTGAAATTTTGAGGATCCGATAAATTAATTATGCTATCCACGTATGAATCACAGAAATCTGAATGCTTACCTAAACTATGGCCCTTCTAATCATCTTTATTTCAGAGGCGAATTCGATTAAATTCCTTTAATTGCAAAATAGGTGGACAAGTAACTAAATCAATTGGACAAGTGAATGGAACATTCGAAATCCTTCCTTCGGTGGAATTATTAATTGGAAAATAATTCGATAAAATCCGAAAAAGCTCATTCTTGGTTTATGTGAAGAAAAAAGCAACATGTGCATAGAGGCGCATGTTTTTATCAAAGTTTGGGACCAATGGTACTACGTACTTTTGCTGTCAGTATTTAGACGTTGTGTTCGTGTCTATTTTTAGCGGGATCAATATGAAGCTTAGAGATGAGTGAATCTCACGCTCTGTAATAATTTAATAGAGTCCTTCATGCAAGGTTAACGGAGAACGAGGAGTGAGGGGAGCCTGGAAAAAGAATAAGAATGTAAGCAAATGACAAGTAAAGACAAGAATTATCATGTTCTTTAGGGTATCTGTAGGCAAGTTTGTCACCTGATTGGGTAGGAGCCGGTAATGGTCGTCAACTATTGTAATTTCGGTTTTCAGCGTCAATATTGTCATCATTTGCGTCTAACAATACAGCTTGATAACCACTGAGAATAAACAAACTTCTTTTCAAGGCGTATTCTTATAAAGTTGGGAAAATAAAAAATTATTCGACCCACACAGCAATCGAGTCTCAATATTATTCAGACCATCTAAACAATTTGATGCAGAGTCGACTTTGCAGTAGCATGAGGATTGTTGCCGCCAAGACCGAGTAGTAACACTATACAGAACGTTCAAAGCATCGCAAGTAAACTGGTCATAAAATGTCTGGAGACTACAAATGGTTTAAGTCGACTCCAATTCCGAAGTCATGATTTACACATCAATCACGGGCAATGTTTATTTTGACAGATGATTTTGATCTGGATTCTGGTTCTGGAGAGAGAAAGAACTGCTATCCTTATGGCGCAAGAAAACAAGCCAATGCTTAATTTAAACCTATAGACAGACATGCATAATCTTCCGTAGAAAGAAAGTTGAACAGAATATTTAGCAAAGTCCTTTGACAGCCTTGATGCAAAGAAAAAACGTAATGCTAAGGGAAATCCAATTGCATAGTGGGTCCTTCTCATAAAATTTTACGAAAAACTCTATCTTCACACGTTGAATGAGCTTAAGGTTAGGGTGACAAAATTCTTACTCCTATAAGTGATCATGCCACTGATTATGTACATCTGACTTATTGCCTATCCAGAGGTACTGGGACGAGCATTCTCTTTTCTTTTCAGATAAAGTGAGCTTTTAAGACTATCAGTAAATCTTGACTAAGAGCTCTTGTAACTCTTGGTCACATGGGGTAAAGAAGGACTAATAGTTGGATTTGCCCATAATCATATAAACGAGCTTCACGTTTCCATTGAATTGTGCATAGTCTTGTTTAGCAAGCGGTATTCTCATCCTGACCGGATTGGACTGCAGTTTTGACTTCGCCTAGGTCTCATTCCTCAGCGCGAATCGAACCTGGATTTTGGGGCATATAATCTCGACATGTTATCCTTTTGAAAGCAAAACTGTGAAATTCAATAACGTGAAGCCGACTCATATCATTGTAGGAAAATTTAACCATCAATTCTTTATCAACTAGGATGACTAGAACTCTTATTCAAGTCTTAATGACAGTCTCGAATACCAATTTGAGATAAATTTGGCTGCGAAGTCGATCGTAATGGCAGAATATAAATTTGCTTTATTGCAAATTCCCCTACAAATAAGTAATGGGAGAAATGTGGCGTCATATGAAATTTAAGAATGTACTTTGGCCCAGATGCACTCGGGGCAGTGTTGCGTAGTGGCAAAATACGAGCTTAAAACTTCAGTCCACTCTTGATGAGAATACCAATTAGGAGGCAAGGCTATGTGACCTTCAATGTTTACTCATATTATTTCGGAACGATTCAACTATCTGTCCTTCATCGCCCAATAAGACCTAGAGTGACTAGAAAATTTATTTTTATTTCTTCAACTTT